GCGACTTCTGGCGAAGTCTCGCTCTGGGCCCGCTCAAGTGAGACAAATGTTGAGATGTGTGTTGTTAACGGGACCCCAAACTGGTGGTTGCCCTTGTTGCTTTCCTTTCCACCAACCCTCACAAAAGCGCACACCCATGGTTGAAAGAGGGCGCCCACTCCCAAGAGACGTGGATGAGAACCCCGTCCAAGCGTTCACTTTAAGGGGCCCTTGGCAGTTTGAATTAGGCAGGGCAAAAGCTCTGGTCGCAGTTCACCAGGCAGTGGTCGAAGAGGCAGAACAACCACGACCGGCAGCACGCGTTCTTGCCTCAGCCCAAGGGGAGCTGGAAATGTGTTGTAGTTGTTTTTTGTTGCTGTTTGTCTTTTTTTTTCCGGGTTTGTGTCGAAACGGGAGGGACCCCTACAGTCAGGTCACCCCTCAAAGTAGCGCGCTGGGAAACGCACCGGCGTGTCACAAACTACCAGCGCCCTGCTTCAATGGCGAGTGTCCCAACTGCGGCGAATGACGCTTCAACCTACAAGCCTACCTCGGACTCATCAACAATGAGTTCGACACGGTACTGCGACTGGTGAACGTAGCTTTCTCCACAATAGTTGACCAGTGCGTGGCTGCCACCGTGCGTCGCTTGTGGATTTGAACCAGCAAAACCACAAATCCAAAGCAGTTGCCAGCATCTAGCCCCCTATTCAGGGCTTAAGCTTGGCAAGGAGGAGGACTGCCAAGAATGGATACCCCCCTGCACATTTACACGAAACCAAAAAAGGAGATTTGTCCATCCGAAGTAGTTCTTTGACTGCTTGAGGAGGTTCTGCAATGGCACGTCCAACTCTCTCTCTCGCCCTCTCTCTCTCAGGATCGACTAGCTCATGTCGACCCCTCTTTTGTTGGCACTTAAAGGGAAGACATAAGGAAACCGATGCCACTGTTTTGAGCACCCCTCCTTCCCTATTCATAACCTGTCGCTCGCGCAGCTCCCAGCCAAAGTGCCACGGCATTCCCAGTCGCCAACCCCAGAACCCCGTGGAACACTCTGGAACCTTCCCTGAAAGCTGCTCCGAACCCAGGCTTTCAGCTGCTGATATCACAAGAAAACATCTGCCATGCCGCTGAACAAAAGGGGATACACTCCCGCAGACTAACATGGAAGCTCCCAGAAGGCCTCTGCAATGGAACCAAGTCCTCCAAAAAGGTCCTGGGAGCTTCCATGTTAGTGTGGGGGAGGGTACCCTCAAAAAACACCCACCCAAACCCAAAAAAACGCAAAGGGCCCTTTCACCCGAGGCTCAGGGGAAGCATTCGCCGTCCCCCTGCGCTGCAGCCGCCTCGGATTTGGGCCCGGCCTCGCAGGAGTCAACTCAATTGGGAAGGCCCTGGGAATTCAAATGATGCCCTCCCTCCAACGTGGCAACTGACAGGGGCTCCCTTCAAAAGGAAATGAATCTTCCAGGTACCTCCCCACTGCCATGTTAGTTGGAGGAACGGTACCAACGTGGTTGATTCCCATGACTACTTCATCCCTTCAAAGGGGCGTCCCTTGCTATCTACAACCATGCAAGGCGGTAGGGGCAAACCAAGCACATAAAACAAAAACAAAAAAAAGAAGGAAAAAAAAGAAGAAAAAAAAAGAAGAAAAAAAAAGAAAAAAACATACATAAACACATGAGGACATATAAAAATTAACACGGCAGGCAGGTAAACCAAAAATATCCACTAAACAATAAATACTTGAAAGAAGAAACAATCAATAAGTGAGTACATACCAATACATGAAACACAACAATGCAACACACATAAGAAGACATAACATGACCCACAATACTTGTAAAAAAAAATAAAAATGTGCTGCTTTACTTTGTACATAAATACATACATACATACATACATACACACATACATACATACATACATACATACATACATACATACGTACGTACGTATATACATACATACATACATACATACATACATACATACATACATACATACATACATACATACATACATACATTACATTGCATTACATTACATCACATCACATCACATTACATTACATTACATTACATTACATTACATACATACATACATACATACATACATAGATTACATACATACATACATTACATACATTACATTACATTACATTACATTACATTACATTACATTACATTACATTACATTACATTACATTACATTACATTACATTACATTACATTACATTACATTACATTACATTACATTACATTACATTACATTACATACATTAAATTACATTACATTACATTACATTACATTACATTACATTACATTACATTACATTACATTACATTACATTACATTACATTACATTACATTACATTACATACATACATACATACATACATACATACATACATTACATACATACATACATAAATTAATTACATACATACATACATTACATTACATTACATTACATTACATTACACTACACTACATTACATTACATTGCATTACATACATACATTACATACATACATACATACATTGCATACACACATACATACATACATACATTCATACATGCATACATACATACATACATGTGTTACATACATGTGTTACATACATACATACATACATACATACATACATACATACATACATACATACATACATACATTACATACATACATACATACATACATACATACATACATACATACATACATACATACATACATACAGACATTACATACATACATACATACATACATACATACATACATACATACATACATACATACATACATACATACATACATACATACATACATACATACATACATTACAAACATTACATACATACATACATACATACATACATACATACATACATACATACATTACAGTACATTACATTACATTACATTACATTACATTACATTACATTACATTACATTACATACATAACATACATACATACATACATACATACATACATACATACATACATACATACATACATACATACATACATACATACATACATACATACATACATACATACATACATACATATACATACATTACATACATACATACATACATACATACATACATACATACATACATACATACATACATACATACATACATACATACATACATACATACATACATACATACATTACATACATACATTACATTACATTACATTACATTACATTACATTACATTACATTACATTACATTACATTACATTACATTACATTACATTACATTACATTACATACATACATTAATACATACATTCATTCATACATACATACATACATACATACATATGTAGTATGTCTCTTTGTGTATTCGGTCATCTATTTAGGTATGTATGTGTGGTATGTAAAGTCATGCAATGTGATGTGATGTAACGTAAAGCAGTACTGCAATGTATTGCATGCAGTGTACTGCAATGCATGCATGCATGTCTGTGTGAAATTGTGTGCATGTATGCAAGTATTGTAACGTAACGTAACGCAATGTAAGGCAATGTAAGGCAATGTAATGTATTGTATGTATGTAATGTATGCGTATTGTATGTAATGTGTGTATGTCTGTATGTGTGTGTATGTGTGTGTATGTGTGTGTATGTATGTGTGTATGTATGCAAGTCTGTTTGCATGTATGTATGTATGTATGTATGTACGTATATATATGTAATGTAATGTAATGCATTGCAATGTAATAATATAATATAATATAATATAATGTAACGTAATGTAATGTAATGTATGTGTGTGTAATGCTGTTCTCTTCTGCTTTGTATTGATATTCTCTGTTATAACATTTCTAGTATGTTATTTTATGCTATGGTATGGACGTATGTTTGTAGTTTATGTATGTATACACGTAATCACGTATGCATGCATGCATGTATGCATGTAATGCATGTAATGCATGTAATTCATGTAGTGCATGTAATGCATGTAATGCATGTAATGCATGTAATGCATGTAATGCATGTAATGTATGCAATGTATACATGTATGTAATGTAGTGTTATGTGATGTGCTGTGATGTAATGTAATGTGATGTAATGTAAGGTAATGTAAGGTAATGTAAGGTAATGTAAGGTAATGTAAGGCAATGTAAGGTAATGTAAGGTAACGTAAGGTAATATAAGGAAATGTAATGTGATACAACGTCATGTTATATATGCACGTATGTGTGTTTGTATGTTTGCATGTTTGTATGTTTGTATGTTTGTATGCTTGTATGTCTGTATGTTTGTATGAAGGTACGGTGTGCAATTCAACGTATGTTTGTAGCGTAGTGTAGTCTAGCGTAGTGTAAATGTATTGTATTGTGTCGCATTGTATTGTATTGTAATGTAGTGTACTGTAATGTTTGTCATGTCGTGTCATGTATGTATGTATGTACGTACGTACGTATGTATGTATGTATGTAATTTGTGTAATGTGTGTAATGTGTGTAGTGTATGTAATGTAATGTAATGTAATGTAATGTAATGTAATGTAATGTAATGTAATGTAATGTAATGTAATGTATGTATGTATGTAGTGTATGTATGTATGTATGTATGTATGAATGTATGTAATGTATGTATGTATGTATGGTATTATGTATGTATGTATGTATGTATGTGTGTGTGTATGTATGTATGTATGTATGTATGTATGTATGTATGTATGTATGTATGTATGTATGTATGTATGGAATGTATGTAATGTATGTATGTATGTATGTATGTATGTATGTATGTATGTATGTATGTATGTATGTATGTATGTATGTATGTATGTATGTATGTATGTAATGTATGTATGTTATGTAATGTATGTATGTATGTATGTATGTATGTATGTATGTATGTATGTATGTATGTATGTAATGTATGTATGTATGCAATGTAATGTAATGTAATGTAATGTCAAATATGTATGTATGTATGTATGTAATGTATGTATGTATGTATGTATGTATGTATGTATGTATGTATGTATGTATGTATGTATGAATGTAATGTATGTATGTATGTATGTATGTATGTATGTATGTATGTATGTATGTATGTATGTATGTATGTATGTATGTATGTATGTATGTATGTATGTATGTATGTATGAAATGTAATGTATGTATGTATGTATGTATGTATGTATGTATGTATGTATGTATGTATGTATGTATGTATGTATGTATGTATGTATGTATGTATGTATGTATGTATGTAATGTAATGTATGTATGTATGTATGTATGTATGTATGTAAGTAATGTATGTATGTATGTATGTATGTATGTATGTATGTATGTATGTATGTATGTAATGTATGTAATGTATGTATGTAATGTATTTATGTATGTATGTAATGTAATGTAATGTAATGTAATGTAATGTAATGTAATGTAATGTAATGTAATGTAATGTAATGTAATGTAATGTAATGTAATGTAATGTAATGTAATGTAATGTAATGTAATGTAATGTAATGTAAATGTAATGTAAATGTAATGTAAATGTAATGTAATGTAATGTAATGTAATGTAATGTAATGTAATGTAATGTAATGTAATGTAATGTATGTATGTATGTATGTATGTAATGTATGTAATGTATGTAATGTATGTAATGTATGTAATGTATGTAATGTATGTAGTGTATGTAGTGTATGTATGTATGTATGTATGTATGTATGTATGTATGTATGTATGGTAATGTAATGTAATGTAATGTAATGTAATGTAATGTAATGTATATGTATGTATGTATGTATGGTAATGTAATGTAATGTAATGTAATGTAATGTAATGTAATGTAATGTAATGTAATGTAATGTAATGTAATGTATGTATGTATGTATGTATGTAATGTAATGTAATGTAATGTAATGTAATGTAATGTAAATGTAAATGTAATGTAATGTAATGTAATGTAATGTAATGTAATGTAATGTAATGTAATGTAATGTAATGTATGTATGTATGTATGTATGTATGTATGTATGTATGTATGTATGTAATGTATGGTATGTATGTATGTATGTATGTATGTATGTATGTATGTAATGTAATGTAATGTAATGTAATGTATGTATGTATGTATGTATGTATTATGTATGTATGTATGTATGTATGTATGTATGTATGTATGTATGTATGTATGTATTAATGTATGTATGTATGTATGTAAATGTTTTAAAGTAATGTAAAATGTAACGTGTATAATGTATGTAATATGTAATGTAATGTAATGTAATGTAATGTAATGTAATGTAATGTAATGTAATGTAATGTAATGTAATGTAATGTAATGTAATGTAATGTAATGTAATGTAATGTAATGTAATGTAATGTAATGTAATGTAATGTAATGTAATGTAATGTAAGGTATGTAATGTAATGTAATGTAATGTAATGTAATGTAATGTATGTAATGTATGTATGTATGTATGTATGTATGTATGTATGTATGTATGTATGTATGTATGTATGTATGTATGTATGTATGTATGTATGTATGTATGTATGTATGTATGTAATGTATGTATGTATGTATGTATGTATGTATGTATGTATGTATGTATGTATGTATGTATGTATGTATGTATGTATGTATGTATGTATGTAATGTATGTATGCGGTAAACAAGTGTACATGAACTTAAACATGAACGAATACATGTGTTTGTTTTATTAACGAAGGCATAAACAAAGAAGGCACATGCTCAAACAAATATCGAAATGAATACACTACTCAATGAACAATCAACCAAATAAGCAAATACATAAACACCAAACAGAAATAAACAAACACACAGATACAGAAAGAAGTAAAGAAATTAGTCATATAATTACGTAAGCAAACAATGAGCATGAGCATGTATACACAAGAGGGCAGCTCAACGTCGCATGGACATATCTGGCATCCCTTGCGACTACGGCCGGTGGGTTCTGCAGAAACTCCGCTAAAAGCTTTCTCAACCCAACTTGGACTAGCTCAGGTGCAACCTTGAATGCACAAGCTGTACTTATTCCAACACAAACCCGCACCCGCACTCTTCCAAGGTTGGAAGCAAGCAAGATTGGTTTGCCAGCACGTGTTCCCGAACTTGCAACACAGCATCTCGCACCTGCAAATGAATTTTCCAAGCTGTTGCTACTAGGTCCTATGACGAAAACGTGCATCATGTTGCTTTACACCACCCTTGCAACACACGGCCGCAAAGATGATAATGGCCAAGCTCGGCTCAGGCAGCATGCGCCTCTGAGCTTACTCAATCCACATGCTTGATCTGACGTTGCTTAAGCACGTCTGGCTGAAGGCTGCAAACATTGGAGGCCTGCTGTGGCTGTTCATCCCATGGCTTCGGCGGGGTTCCACCCCCAAACCACCGGCTCACGTAGCTTCTTCACACCTCCATTGTACCTGGAAGCCAGTGAATTGGGGGGGTGGGTGATAATTTCGCACCCCAGGTTTTCGCTCACTTGCGTCTGGCCCAACCCTCCGACCGGCCTCGGCACCGTCGGCTGCAAGAAACCGGCCCGACTTGGCCCAGGGCCAGCAGGTACAGCCCTCACCTCAGCCAGCTTCGGGCGTGGACGTTCAATTTGAGGGAAAGATGAAAAGGACTTTGGAAAGAGAGTTAAAAGTGCTTGAAATCGCTGAAGGGGAAGCGAATGGAACCAAGACCCTGGCTGAGACTGCTGCGAGTTTTCACTAGCCTTGTGCGTGAATGCGTAAGCTTTTCGCACATACGTGAAGGAATGCTCGCGGTGTTTCTCAGCTTGCTCGTCAGCTGCAACGCTCGCTTGAGGATGGCCCTTGTCGCGCGCGGCTCTTCTGCGGAATTGCTTCGGCGCCTCTGGGGATTCAGGCGAGCGTGTCTTGCTGATTAAATGGTTCTCTTCGACCCGTCTTGAAACACGGACCAAGGAGTCTAGCACATGTGCAAGTTCTCGGGCGACAAGCCAGTGAGCATAATGAAGGTGACTGCTGGGATGCTTTGCGCTAGCAACCGACTAATCAATTGGGAGAAGTTTGAGTCAGAGCGTGTGTGTTAGGACCCGAAAGATGGTGAACTATGCCTGCGAAGGGCAAAGTCAGGGGAAACTCTGATGGAGGCTCGTAGCGCCGCATGCCCAGCAACCATGGTTGCAAGGGAACTGAAACCAGGAAATTGACCCCGAGCGAACCCAGTTCTATCCGTCGTTAACCCTGATAAAGCCATGGCTACAAGAGATCTGACCGTAGATAACCCAATAATTAACTTCTGACCAGAATCAAAAGGGAGCCAACCCCAGCTACCCCAGTTACAATCATGATTGTGAGGGAACGGGGCCCTGCAACCATGGCTCTAAGGAATTTGCAATCGATCCCAGTTAACGCAGTTATAACTTATCACCACAATCATAAGGACGCGAGTGGCAATCGTGGTTGTACCCAATTTCTTGGTTATAAAGCAATTCACCCAAGTTAAGAACATGGTTCTGAGAAAATTCACCCGGTTATGCTAACTCGGCGAACCTTATTACAAGCAAAGTGATAAGGGAACTGACCCCGGTGACCCCAGCCAGCCCAGTTGTAACTTACAAGCATTGTCAGTGTGCTGCATGTTATGGATTGTCTGTTGCGTCCCGTTGTGTGTTGTGCGTTCTGTGGTGTGCGCTGTTCGATGAGCATTGTGTGGTGTGCGTGGTGCGTTGCCTTTGGAGGAAGCCGGAGGCTTGCGGCGGGGGTCAACCGTGCAGTGCGCTGCGTGTTGTTATTTTCTTCCGTGTGCATGTGCGTGTGCGGGTGCGCGTTCATGCGCGCGTCCCTACAACTTTAAAACCAAAAGCCATAAAGGTCATGGCCCTGCAGAATCGTGGGATTCACCTCCGGGGAAGCTCCCTTTTCGCCCCAGGCGCCGTCCAGTCCTTCCTTGCAGTCATCCTGCATCTTCCTGGGGGGCGGCGCCATCCCCTTTACCCGGGAAGTCATCTCTACCTGAAAAAATGAATGCGCCATGTTTCACCCAAATGCCTTTTTACATCTGCGAGTAAAAAACCTGGGCGCCTCGCGTCAAATACCGGGATTCCTTGGGGGCGGGCCGGGGGGGAGGGGGGCAAGCGAAACCTAGGCACCAGCCACTTGCGATGGCGCGGGACAACGCGGCCTGCATTTCGAGGCCTATTGTTTGCTGTTTGTGTGGAAAGGGTTTTGGGCACGTGCAGGAAGGGAAAGGCCAAAATAGAGAATGCACGCACCAACCCATAATAAATAGGCACCCTCAACAACCCACATGCACTTGGATGCTCCATGTGGACTCCACCGAGTGTTGCACTCTGTTGCACCCTCTCAGCACGTTCCAAGAGGCCCAGGTGAGCTTGCAGGCTCAAGCCCTTGCCCAAACAATGCACAAGGTCGACTTCCAGATAGCCATCAGCCCAGATAGATAAGCGGCTGAAAGAATCGTACCGTTGCTGCCCTCTGAGCGCGAGAGAGGATTTACCGGCAGAACGGTTTAGCCCATCGATCGGGCCATGTACCCCTGGCGCTGCCAGCCCTCGGCCAATGCCATGACCCAGCACTGGGCACATTCGGATCCTTCCACCCGTCACACCCAACGGCTTACTGAACAAGCCAAAACCTTGAGGGAAGCCCCACCCCGAAGAGAAGCACCCAAATTGATTGCAGAAATTTCGGAACGGTGAAATTGTGGAAGTTTGAGGACCCCCCTGTTCACACCTTGCTCAAACCATGGGTGCTAAACAGCAGGGCTGGAATCTAAGAATTGCAAACTCCCTTTCGGCTTGCTTTTTGCACAAATAAAATAAAAGGCTTTGTAGCTGGGCGTGCTTTTGTGTTGCAGTTTTGTCGGGAAACGGGACCAGGAAACTTACGGGTCCAAACCCGTCGATTGGCCAAGGCGCAGCGGCTTCTGGAGGTCGCAGAGACCATCTTGGCACTGCGAGGACTTCCCATAGCCGGCCGGGCACTCCCAAGCACGGCACAGCGCCAGAACCGCCTCGAGAGCTGTGAGCAGCTTGCAGCGTGCCAACTTCTCATGAGCTGAACACTTTGCATATGAGTCCGACAAAACAAGAGAAAGGCAAGACTTGCGAAAGCCCTGTACCTTGGAAGTTTTGGTCAAGAAGCGGACATGTGCCTGGTGACTGTGACATCAAGCCGCCACAAGCGCACCACGACATGATTACACGAATCACCACCCGCAAGCACCCGTGCCAACACAAATTAACAAACAAACCCAACACTGCACACTCTCCTTCTCTCCCCCCCCTCGCTCCCCCCGCTCTCCCTCCGCCCTCCCTCTCACAAAAAGCGCCTGGGAGAAAGCATGCTGTTCTCGCAAGTGCCAAAACACAAGCAGGCATGGAGCGAGCAGGTTGGCATGCACATGCACAAATGCGCACGCCACTCGCGCTATACACACTTGCATGCAAGCAAGCTCACAAAGCATACCTGTGGCTTCCTTTCTCGCCCGGTTTTCACTACCCCGAACCACTGCTTTTAACGAGCTATATCGCCACTATATGAAGAGTATGTTATATTTCATCTATACGCTCTACTTCTTCTTGGGGATGGCTTGGATTCGGGTAGCGGAAGCCTGTTGGGCTCTAGGTTTTGCAGGCTTGCACTATCTGCCGACCCAGACCGCATGACTGGCATTGGGTACTTCCAAGGCGCGAGGCTGAGGATCACCTTCATCTCAGATTTGCTACCGCTCTCTCACTCTCTCTGGAGCCAAGAACTTCGCTGGGATTCCAGATAGGACTTGCATGTCTCTAAGTGGGAAAGCGGACTTCCGTCTGCGCAGGGCTGCTCCGTGCCAGGGTGATTTACTGGCTATGAAACTAAACGGTCGGCTTCGGCCAGGGCACTGTCAACCAACTCTGGACACTTTGCAGACCCCTCACGACGGTGAACACGGACGCAGTTTGCGTGAGGTTGTCCGCCCCTGAGTTCAACCCTCAAAATGCACCTGTGGGCAACGCCTCCAAAAAACCTGCTTGATCCCTAATGTTTTGGTCTATGTGTCGGAACTCGTCGGTCAAACAAAGGGGTACCCATGCCCAGCAAGGATGAGGAGGATGCAGGTCACTTTGCGTAGCTTTGCGCCCATATCAGTTCTAGCCTGGACCCGTGGATGCGTCGGCGAGTCTTCTCATGCCCCGACAGACCGCCACGCAAGATCAGCAGTGCACCCCTTTTCCTCTCAGCTACTACTCCAGGTCGTTAACGCTTGGATAGGCACATGCGCCAGTCACACACACCCGTTGGACACCCAAGCCACCTATGGTTGCCCAATGGCCACGAGAACAAGGGGACAACGGTTTTCTTGGACAAACAAACTAAGCGTGCTTTTCCTTCTCTCCGGATTCCAGTATGGGGCTGTCTAGGCAGCAAATTGTAGATATCCTTCCGACCTGCTTCTTTGAAACCAACTTACAGCTTCTTCAAAACAAGACACATAGGCGGCCAGGAAATTCCCACGCCTAGGATCCTTTTTGGCCTCCTGCCACTCAGGGAAGCGGCCTGTCGCCCGGGAAACAGCCATCGAAGCTGAGTGATAAGAAAAGAAGAGAAACGATTGCACCTGGAATGTGGGTGCCAGAATCTGTGGAAAGAAGGATGTCAGACAAGACATGCTTCACAACTCAGGCGGGACGCCGCCTGGGTGGAAACCTTCTCAACAAGGGGCAATCTTGGGGTTGGTCGCGGATCTCTAGCTCTGTCAGCTTGAGGGCAAAGCATGCTTCCGGGAAATGATCTCCCAAACTACAAGTGAGATCTGGACAGCAAAAAGATACACACTGACAAAATGGGAACTAAGTTCCTCTTTCGTCCCTGTGATCTTCCTCTTTCCACCCTTGCCTTCCCCGTACCTGCTTTCAGTGCAAAGACAGCACTCCTGAAAGACAAGGCCTCCATTTACTTCAAAACCAAGCGGGTTTCCCAACAATGGCTGCCTTTCCTTTCCTTCAAACCTCATGAAAGATGTTTGCTTTCAACCAAGCATTTTTTAGGGCTTTCAGAGAGATCTCCCCGGTTGCCCCGCATCCACCCAACCTACGTGCAGCTCACCACCAGGTTCTCACTGGCCCCGGCACCGCGGGCGCCGGCGGCGGGCGCGGGCGCTTGGCGTCTGGCTGGGGCCACATGGGCTGAACCCGCTTGGGTGCCACCATCCTTGGCTCAGGCTGAAACGAGGGTGAAGCTTGGTGCCGGCAGAGCATGAAAGCCAGGACCAAAAGAAGAACTGAGGATGTATTCCCCGTCGTTGTGTCCCGATGTTTCCAGAGCGTCGTTGTTCGTACCTCCTTGAGGCGAATGCCCATGGTGCCCCGATATTGCCCAGGCCTTCAGGCCCTGTGAAGAGCGTGGGCCAGCCCTCAATCAAGATATGGGAAGATCTTGGCGCAGGAAGCTCCCCAATCAAGCAAACCGATCAGGCGGAGGTGTGAACAACTCAAATATATTTGGGGAGGGCCTTCCGAGTTATACAAGTGGAGACAACGGTACGAGACCTTCAGCTGCACTCAGCGCGGGGTCTCGCGTTGGCTGGGGGGGACCACTCAAACGACATTGAAAAGCAAGCACCAAGGCTTTAGCTGGCATCCCTGCTGGTGCAGGGTTTTGTCCAAGACCAAACATGAGCAAGTGCCTGGTGGTTCGCACATTTCATGCAAGAAAGATGCGAGAGCCCAACGGTAGTGGTGGCTGGTCACCTGGTAGCCAATTTGTTTCACTGCCTTGAGGGGTCATCCTCGTACACGTGTTGAACCGAGCGAATGAATGGAACTGACTTTGGTATAAAGCGGAGCATGGGAGAAAAGCAGCAGCCATCCAGCGGCAACTTGCGACGACAGGCGACAAGGTATCACACACAAACCAGCTCCTTGGCCAAGCACGCCCGTTGCACGACGGCCGATCGCCCGTCGCCGATGTTGACCAGTCTGTGGGCGATTGAGTCTTGAGTCAGTCAGTGAAGTGAGTGAAAGAGGGACAGAGACAGAGACAGAGACAGAAGCAGAGACACAAACGCGCAAACACACATGCCAAATGGACAAGTAGTGCTGAGCTACAGGCACACAAACACACAGACACACAAACACACAACACACACACAACACACACACACAACCATACAGACACACACACACACAAACACGCACAACACACACACACACACAGGCACGCATACAACACACATAACACACACACACACAACACACACACACATATATGCGCGCACACACACACACGCGAACACACATATCAAGCACATCACAAACAAATTATAAACACAAACACAAACTCAAACTCAAACTCAAACACAACACACAAACAAACAAACAAACAAACAAACAAACAAACAAACAAACACACACACACACACACACACACACACACACACACACACACACACACACACACACACACACACACGCACACACACACACATGACACACATGACACACATGACACACATGACACACATGACACACATGACACACATGACACACATGACACACATGACACACATGACACACATGACACACATGACACACATGACACACATGACACACATGACACACATGACACACATGACACACATGACACACATGACACACATGACACACATGACACACATGACACACATGACACACACGCGTCCCACACATCACACACACGCACACGCACTCGCACACACACACACACACACACACACACACACACACACACACACACACACACACACACACACACACACACACACACACACACACACACACACACACACACACACATCACACACATCACACACACACATCACACGCATCACACGCATTACACCCATCACACAGTGGACGCAGAGACAGCGGCAGGCAGGGGCAGAGGCAGAGACAGAGACAGACACAGAGACAAAGACAACAAAGGGTTGGGAAAGGTGAGACTTCCTCACTCTGACGTGTTCGGCTATTGTGCCAAGAGTCATGGGCGACGCTGATGCCTTGGAAGTCGCGAACTTCGGCACCGGCACCACGTGTGGCGCCCGCGGCTGCTGCGGCGCGCTTGGCGCCTGCGGTTTGGCTGGCACCGGCACCACCTGCGGCGGCCTCATCGGGCCCCCGAAGCCAGCGCTAGGTGCCCTCTGCGGCACCGGCACCACCTGGGGCACCTGAGAGTCGGGAAACCCCCCAATGGCAATGACAAGGCAATGGCCAGAATCGCCAGCTCCCCGCCTGCGCCTTCCCCAGTCTGGGCGCCGGCATGTGTGGCGCCTTGCACTCTGCCGGAGCCGCGCCGCCCTTCGCCGGGGTCGCCTTGGCCGCCTGCAGCGCCTCTGCTAACGCCGGCGCCGGCGTCGGGGGCGGCGTCGGAGGCGTGAGAAGCGGTCCGGCCGGGGCCGGAGCTTCGCGAACCTCTGGCTCGGCCGCCAGCGCCGCACGCTGGGACTCGATGAAGTCCTCACATGCAAGAAGGCAATGGCTTCAGTGGCAAAGTTCTCCTTTGGATGCAGGGCAATCGCAGAACTGGCAAGTTCCCTGCCATGAGCAAAGACACGCATGGCGCCCCGAAAAGTGCCGACCGTGATTATACCATCATGCGCCATGGCACAAAGGTGCTCCGAATAGCAAGCCATTTTGCAAGTTGATGAACACAGCCCTGAGTCTCTTGACCCATGGCACGTCTGTTTGGCTCGCCCCAAGGCCTCCAGCTGCTTGTAAGGATCGCCCTCCTTCACCTCGAAGCCCTCCATGACCTGAGCCATGGCGATGATGCTTTCCATTAGGCTTGCTCGTATTTATCTAAATTCCGAAGGGGCCGATGACCATCCCCACCAACTACAAGCAAAGATGTGCTGTGACCACGGACCTGGAATCTGCGAATTCCAGCGGGATCGATGCACCTCGAACCGGCCAATCCCTCCAAGAATGCCAAAGGAACAGGGTTTGGCACCGGCACCCAAGGTGCTGCCAACTAATTGGGTGGT